GCTATGTAGTCTATTTTGATTGACTTACAGATGAAAATGCCCATGAATGAGAATTGCTGAGCCAAATCCATTTGAAAATAATGTTTAGATGCACAATTAAGCTCTTGGAGAGTCGTGTCTGTCTCTGTTTTCTCAGGACCTACAAGTCTGTTCAGCTGGATAGTTCTGAATGTATTCAAATGGACTTAGTGCTGAGGGCACAGTTTCAAGACGCCATGGGACGCCAAATCCCCATGAACTAGATGGTAAAATGTATGGCTATATGTATGAAAGTGTTCAATGAAGAGTCAGATGTCAGGTAATGTTAAAATGCTCCTACATGGGAAACGGTTCTTACAGCAGACTCATAGACTGACGATCTTGAGTAGCACTCAGTGGCCTCAGAATCAGCCCAAAGGCATTCTGGTCTGACAGGAGAGCCAACAAGAAAGCAAGCATATCAGGTGTGGAAAGCCAGGACACTGCTGCGAAGAGTGTCCTCCTCTGTGAAGTACCTCAGCGGTCCATGCCCCAGTGCAAAGAAGTAGCCATCAAAGATGGTTGTGCTCTTCTCTCAATGGAGGAGAGAACTTCCACTTCGTGTATGGCCTTGTCTAAGGAATTCTGGGGGTGTTGCGGATTCAAGAGGCTTCCACAGCCTAAGCATCGTGTGTCAAGAGCCGCAGGTGATTACTGACGTCACACATAAGAGTGCTAATTTGTTAAATTCACTAGAGTCACTGTGTACTGACTTCCCATGCAGGACCTATAGCTTCAGAGTTATACTAAAAAGATATGTTATTAATATCCATAGATGTTTCCAAGTAGTGTCTTATGGATCTAAAAAGCCTTATTAGTAAGAAGAGCTTGGAATTGGAATACAGTGGCTATCAGCGGGCTGTAAGTTAATTGGCCTATGACTGCTCAACCAGTACCACGACTAAGCTTTACTGGGGTAGGACACCCTGAATGCTCGAAAGCAGAGCTCGCGCCTTCACTTGCCAAACTGTTTGGGAAGATTCTTGTATCCTTCAATTGGGAGTACATGGCTTATTAGGCTATAACTAGTAGATTGCTTGCCTCTGCCTTAAAGTGTATGAAGTTCTGCAAATTCTCGTCAGAATACTACAAACTGCTGAGTTGTTGTAAATGAAATCCTGTTTAAATCTTTTGCCATCTACAGTGTGACTAGTAGGTCTTGCAACAAAATGTTTTCAGTGCTGTGCTTTATGTTCTAGGCTATGTGTGTCATCCTGAAACTCTTAGGGCTTACAACGATTGGTAAAGTATAATTGTTTTGAAAAATCTAACACTTGCCAGTTCCTTACTGTTAAATTCACCAATTTCAAGGGAAAGAATAACTGTAAAATGGATGTAAAAGAATTTAGATGGGCCTCCAGTCCCCAGGCAGCAGACAGACCTGAAGTTGAAGGCTGTGGAGGAAGAAGGGGCATGGAGGAGATGAGGAAAGGACCCTTTTGGACTCTGCTTGACATGGAGGCTGAAATGAGGGTCACCTAGGCCCTTACTTGGTGGAATGATATGTGTTTGTCCCCCTCATTGGGGCAACAGTGGTTTAACACCCTGAGAGGCCTGCCAGAGTTCTGCCATCCATTCCTGGTTTGGTTGGAGGCAAACTCCGCCCTCCTCTGTGATAGACATCATCTACCTAGATGTAAAACTGTAGTATTTTCAAATGTCAAATGCAATAATTGCCAAGGAGTCAGCTTGCATTTACCTGTCCTGTAATGAATGGGCTTATATTCTGATGCTATATGCTAATCCTTGCATAGTTGCTATGCCTTCTGATTGATCTAGACCAGCAATTTATGCAGCTCAAAAGGAGTTTTGCCTGTTCCATTGAGTTCATGAGTATGTTGAGCTCAAGTATTCAAACTAAAGTTTCTAACTGAGCACACAACCTACTAGGTTGGGAAGGATTATAACCATGTTATGTTTTGTCATCTAGACTTCAACAAAGAGAAGCCTTTCAAGTGCCAGGCTGTACATCCAACACCTGATGACATCTACCTTCTATCAGGAACCGTTAGATGGACCCCTCCCACTGCTGCTGTTACTCAACTGCGTCCCCTCTCAGCAGGAAGCAGCCAAGATCAGACAACTACGGCCCCTTTCCTTAAAAGCAGCTGGGTCCAGTCCTCTGTTTGGACATATAGGAGCCAGATGGGATGATAGGCAGTTAGGGTCTCCGGTTCCTGGTGAAACTGTCTTGTATACATGTAACCCCTTAGCACTGAGAGATTCTTGAATGTTAATATTTTCAACGATGCTTGTACATTGTTACTTATATTACTAAGTATGTTACTAAATCAAAGATTTGATTAGTTACTAGAAAGAGGGGGGAATGAAGAACCTAGGCGTTTTCTGCCTTTTGTGATTCTGCCTTAATGGCTTGGCTGGGGGCTGTGTGAACCTCAGGCCTGATAGTCTACGTGACACCCGCAGGACACCTGGCAGGTCACGTAGGCAGACCACTCCTCAGGAAGGAGGTACCTGGTGTTTGATAAGATTCACAGCCCAATAGCTCATCGATTTGTACTTTTTGAAAATTGCTTGTTTCAAACCCACCAATAGAAGCCTGCTAAGTCATGACTGTATAATTAATAGCCTAAAATGTATAAGAACTGGGGGGCTTGGGCTCTCAGGGTTCCTTCGCTCTTCTGGCTCTTTTGTCCTCCTTGTGGATCCTTGCAGCCTCTGCTGCAGCTGCCCCTCCCCCGCCCAGCCATGCTGGGCTGGGGGAGGTGGCTGGGAGACCTAGGCTAACCTGAATAAACCACCTTTTTGCCTCAGCACCGACTTCAGACTTGGTGATTATCTGGGGGTTTCAAAAACCGGCACAACAGTACTTCATCGGTCATCCTCTTAAAAAAACCTCTGATAATGCAAAAAGTATTCCAGTGAGTTCATGGAAAATGTGTTTTACAATATGCATGGGGCTCCGCCAGTATGATCCTGGCAACAGGTGCTCAAAGATGCTCCAAGTTACACACTCTATCCTTACCATCAACTTGGAAGTCTTTCTTTATCTTTACACATCAAAATAAACTTTTCGTTAAGCTCCGTTCTTCCATGAACTCTCTAAAGTACCCTCATATACCTTCTTCGAAGAGTTTAAAATTTAACAAGACATTAAATATATATAAGTAACACAGACAACAACAGAGGCAATTTAGATAAGTACCATAAACAGCATACAGAAGTTAAGAATTCTGTCATTTTCAACCAAAACGAGTCTTGACAGATAAAGGGGAGACGGAATAGACCTCGTGGCAATAGGAATATTTTATACCAGAAGAAACTGACAGGTGGAGAGGTAGGGAACGGGTGCTCCAAGTAGACAGAGGAACAATGGCAACATGGCAGCAAAGTAAGGGAGCGGCAGAATGGTGGAGCAGCGGAGACAAGTGTGCGTGCCAGGGTGGGGGACTTCATTCCAACAGGGGTCGTGTAGATATTTACAGCATCAACTGTAGCCAATGTAAAACTTAGCCTGTTATACATTTACTGAATTGCATATTCTTCTTGTAATTTTCTTGGCAGGGCCAGATCAAATGATTTTTCTGGCTTTCTGTGACCTGGCCATGGCTCAGGCATTCCCCAACTCTAAAACATGCAGTAAGAGGAAGAGGGAGGACAAGGTAGAACTAGACTAGTGAGTGTCTGAAAGTTCATGTTTAAGAGTGGGCTGTGGGGCCCAGCGCAGTGGCCTAGCAGCTAACGTCCTCGCCTTGAATGTGCCGGAATCCCATATGGGTACTGGTACATATCCCGGCAGCCCCGCTTCCCATCCAGTTCCCTGCTTGTGGCCTGGGAAAGCAGTCGAGGACGGCCCAAAGTCTTGGGACCTGCACCCACGTGAGAGACCCAGAAGAAGCTCCTGGCTCCTGGCTTTGGATTGGCTCGGCACTGGCCATTGCGGTCACTTGGAGAGTGAACCAGTGGATGGAAGATCTTCCTCTGTTTCTCCTCCTCTCTGTCTGACTTTGCAATAAAAATAAATAAACCTTAAAAAAAAAAATAGAGGTGGACTGTGGACCAAAATTCTCTTTGGTGATGTTATTTCCTGCTAATTTACTCTTGAGTGAAAACACACAAAAAATTTGCATTTCATCCACTTAATGCTGAGGAATTACTTGAGATTTTTGAGTTAGGGAAGTAAAATAATATTAGCAGCCTACAGTGTCAACTGTAGGCTTTACAAACACAGCCTATGCTTGATTTACATTGTGAAAAAAAAATTCACCTCTTACACCCAACTTTACTCTTCCCAGATCATTTCTGCTAGATTCTTTCTTTTTTTATTATTGTTACTAACATTGTATTATGTGATACAGTTTTATAGGCACTGGGGATTCCCCCCACCCCTCCCATACCCCTCCCCCCATAGTGGATTCCTCCACCTTGCTGCATAACCACAGTTCAAGTTCAGTTGAGATTCCTTCATTGCAAGCATATACCTTTCTGCTAGATTCTAAAAACATAACCAACAAAGGAAGTTCTCTGGTAGGAAGTTTTCCACGTAATACAAGCAAGGATCAAAGAGGTCATGGAGACTGTATACTATAAAAAACCATGCTTAGCTTTCAAAATGTTTTACGCCACAATAATTTGATCTTCTAATTCCATTCTCCCGGAACTTTTGGAAATATCTTCATATTTTCACTTTGCAGATGGACTATTTCTAAGTACTCTAGAAACGTACCTGTTAACAGGACCTGCTTTAGTATAAAAGGTTACTCAGCCTGTGGTGGGGGGCTCTGTGCTGACTTCTTGCAGACCTGTCACAAACTCTGGCAAATGGCATGTGCTCGGGACACAGGCTGCATGAAGAAATGATATTATCACAATCTACCTGGGAAGGTCTCATTCCCACCCTTCTCCCCTGGTCTTCTATTTCAATACAACCTGCATAAATGTGTTGCTGCAAACGTGAGTCATTTGAGAAAGAGCCCTAAATTCCTGTGTCCTTCACAAGGCCAAGGAAACACCATACTCACTTTGTAACTCCATAGTCAATTCCGATGGTTGCCAGGTATTTAGACACAAACCTCTTCTCACAGTACCGCTTTATGATGCAGCTCTAAAAAGCACAAATCATGCATCTAGTAAACACAATGAGAACATTTACAAGACAAATACACTCACTTGCTAGCACAGCTTCTTCATTCCCCACTATCAAAAAAACAAACCCCAACTTTGTAAAAATCACTAAAAATGCTAAAAGATTTTAAAGAAAAATATCCTAAAACTCTTCCCTTAATTTTAAATATGAGTATGCTTGCAGCTGAATACTCAGCACGCATTCCTTTCTTCTGAAGGCTTTTCCATCCGTACGTTAACAGTGTCCTAGGACAGAGCGGTCTAGCCTTCACCTCCCTCCCACCAGATCCACACTCCAAGCCAGCTATTAGGCTAGACGTCCTGCTTCACTTCAAACCCAAATGTCCCCAAATGAACTAATCACACAGATGGCTCATCACATGTGTTAATACCACCACATGCCCGAGTCCACAAGGTCAAGATACTGAAGTCGTCATCAATTCTGGACTTAGTCTTCAGTGTTTCTTCCATCTTTTCTTTTCATCCCATCCCCACCAATCACTCGTTGCTTTAGGTCCTCGTCCCTGACTGGTACACCACTACACGGACACTGCTGACTTTCCTGGCTCCTTCCTTTCCCAAGCTCAGTTGACACTGTAGGCTGCTAATATTATTTTACTTCCCTAACTCAAAAATCTCAAGTAATTCCTCAGCAGTAAGTGAATGAAATGCAAATTTTTTGTGTGTTTTCACTCAAGGCCTTTGCCTGTCTTCTCTAACTAACCCTTCCCACACAAACTCGCCATTTCCATCAAACTCCCAAGGTTCCAGCTCCTGACTTTGCCATTACTTCTCCCGCTGCTTGAAAAGAAGCTCCTCTCTTCTTTCCACCCGTTCCTTATCCTTCAGGACCTGGATTCAGCCCGGAGCAGCCACGTGTGCTTCATGGTCTTCTTGCCTGTGTCTGAATTGTGTATTGGGCGTGATCATTAAACATCTGAATTCCTGCAGCACTTCCCGTACTGCTCCTGTGGCCCACCTTCTGCAGACCTACACTGCCCTCGGCCAGGTCAGTACTCACAGCCTGAGCCGCACTACGAGCTACTGCGCACATGCGCACACTTCTCTAACCTCTCCATCTAGACGATGGCAAGCAACACTAGCCCAGTGCCTTTCACACAGGACTTGACAACCACCAGAGGAACAGGAGAGAGCATCAGGTAGGTCAAGCTGGGATTGTTGTGATCCAGTTTCCTGCTAAGGCACCTAAGGGTCAGCAGCTGACGGCCCAGGGACTTGAGTCTGCCGCCCACCCGGGAGAGACCTGGCTGGAGTCCCTGGATCTAGGTCCAGCTCCGGCTCCTGCTGGCACGTAAGGAGAGATCCGGTGCGTGAAAGCTCTTCCTCTCCTTGTTTCCCTTTCTCTGAACTACTCTGCTTTTCAAACCAACAGGCATCTTTTAAAAACCTGATTGGTGTCTGAACTGAATTACACTGATAGATTATTTTAAGTAACTGACATCGCCACAATTTCAAGGGATCCCATCTAAGAGAAGAGTGGATCTTTCCATTTGCCTAACTTACTTTGTCTTCTCGGATAATTTTTTCTTTTTATTTGTTTACAGACAGAAAAGTTCATTTGCGAAGGGACCAGGTGAGTCGGGGGGAAAGGAAGGAGTAAAGAGGGAAGGCGAAAGCAACTCCTGAGAGAAAGTCAGGAAGCGGGGTGCCTCTTGAAAGGAGAGGAGGGACCTTCTCAGAGAAGTTAAAGCTATTTGCCATACAAGCTCTATTTCTTCAAAAGTTTGAAACAACGCACTTTACATTGGCTCTTAATATTTTTCAGCTGACTAGAACTTGGATATAATAAAGCTATGAATTTGTGTCTTGGTTTTAACAAGATTGAATTTTCTTACATTTTTTAAAGATTTATTTATTTTTGGGTCCAGTGCGGTGGCACAGTGGTTAAGGTCCTCGCTTTGCACGCCCGGGATCCCATATGGGCGCCAGTTCTAATCCCAGCAGCCCCGCTTCCCATCCAGCTCCCTGCCTGTGGCCTGGGAAAGCAGTCGAGGACGGCCCAAAGCTTTGGGACCCTGCACCTGTGTGGGAGACCCGGAAGAGGCTCCTGGCTTCGGACTGGCATAGCATCGGCTGTTGTGCTCACTTGGGAAGTGAATCATAGGATGGAGGATCTTCCTCTCTGCCTCTCCTCTCTGTATATCTGCCTTTCCAATAAAAATAAAATAAATCTTTAAAAAAAAAACAAAAAAAAAGATTTATTTATTTTTACTGCAAAGTCAGATATAGAGAGGAAGATCTTCTGTCCGATGGTTCACTCCCCAAGTGAGCGCAATGGCCCGTGCTGAGCCGATCCGAAGCCAGGAGCTTCTTCCAGGTCTCCCACGCAGGTGCAGGGTCCCAAGACTTTGGGCCTTCCTCGACTGCTTTCCTACACCACAAGCAGCGAGCTGGATGGGAAGTGGGGCCACTGGAATATGAACTGGTGTCCATATGGAATCCCGGCATACATAAGGTGAGGACTTTAGCTGCTAGGCTACCGCGTTGCGCATTCTTACTATTTTTAATTCAGATAATTTCCTTTGCGTTTCCAGTAGACAATCACATTATCAGCAAACAATGATCATTTTTGTCTTCTTGTCTATTTTATTTCTGCCTATTATCAAATTCCAGCGGAGTAAGTCTAGCACGACACCAAATAAATGCAGTGGCATTGGACATTTTGGGCTGCTACTATTGTTGCACTCAGAGACATATTACATATCTAAACATGACATGCGCTCATGTGCTCACTTAGCCAGTTTTCCTCATAAAACCTGGAGGTTTTCTCGTTCTGGTTGCTTGCCTGGGAGGTATAGAGGGGCTTTTAATAGATGTTGTCTTTCAGGGAATGGCTATAATTATCCTCAGATATAGTTAAGCAAAGCAGAATCATGCTAATCAGATGAAAAAAAAAAACAACCAAGAAATATTAACTGTGAATTTAGTAAATACTCCCACGGACGCCTGTCACACTCAGATCCCAGCGGGAGTGGATTCTGACAGCTCCCAGGGCTGGATCCAGCAGTGCTGTGAATGCATGGGGACGCGGGCTCTAACCCCGTCTCTCACTGAGCTGATGACCTTGGCACGTCCTTAACCAAAACCTTCCACTGGTCAAGGGTTCATCCACCTGTGGCCCTCCCTTCCCCATCCCTCAGGGACAGTCTGGCTGACACTGGGGAGATGGAGCAGAGAACCAGGGTGCAACTTGGGCTCCTTGGCGAGATGCAGACGTGACAACTTCACCAGGAATTTCTAAAAAATATGTAGAACAAAATAAAGCAAAACCACGGCAAGATCCTTGTCTGGAAACCACACTGGCTTCTGTCGCGCTCCCTTAGGAAGGGGATGCTGACGCCGGGCTGCTTAGCAACACTGGGCTAATAATCCCCAATACCCGCCCCCCCATAAACACACACACACCCAAGTCAACTCCAAGCCGGCTCTCCCCCGAGGACACCCTGACACCTTCCCAGGAGGACTGACGTCGGCCGACGGTGCGGCCCAGAGGTCGCCAAGGTCAAGCCAGCTCCCCTCACGCAGCCGCGTCCTCGCGGAGCAGCCCGGGCCTGCGGCGAGGGGCGGGGAGGAGGCCGGCCCCGGGTGTTGAGTGGCCGCCCTCCCAGCCAATGGGCTCGCCGCCCCGCTGCGCCGAAGTCCCGCCCCTCTCCCCGCGACAGACTCACTTTTCCCACTTCGGCGTTGCCCATGGAGATGACTTTGATGCGGAGGGACTTGGCGGGCTCCTTCCGCTTCGGCACGTTGGCCTCCATCGTCCGCGTTCTCTCGGGGACACCAGCCCGCTCTCGGCTTGGGCGGCAGGCTGGTCCGTCTCTCAGGACGCCTCGTCCGTCCCTCAGGACGCCTCGTCCAATGGCGGTCCCGCTGCCCTCGTCACGGTCGCGGCGACACGGTCCGCCATCTCCGCCGCCGGCAACCGAGGGGGTGGGTAGGGGGAAGGAAGTCTCGCGATGCCAGAGCGGGCCGGTGACGTCATCCCCGGGCCCTGAAGACGCGGACTGGTTTCCTGGGCTTGGGGGTCGCGCAGCGAAGCGGGGAGGCGGCGTGGGATGGAGTGGTTGGGTTTCCTGTGAGTGTTTGGCAGTTAGTAACTAAATGTTGGACACTCAGTTGGATATTCTAAATCCATGCCCAGGCTGGAAGTATCTGGAACATGGCCTGGTTCGAAGCCCAGACTTGCCAGAAATCCCAAGTGTATTTCGGAGTGAGGTGCTGGTTTTTTCATCCTGGGTTCTTATTAGGGCCCTGAACCCCGTTCCTCTCTGATCCCTTCTCCCCACCACTTCAAAGCAGCCTGCCCCTCGGTACCAGCCGGGCACTGGTTTCCAGATTGTCTGGGGTACCAAAAGTCAAGGATGCTTCAGTCCCTTTCCCACAGCGGAGCCGTATTTGCATAGAACCTGCAGTGTACTACTGATGGGTTAATACTTTGTACTGCCTGAGCCCTAGGTAAATGGTTGTTTTATGTTAGATGCATAGGGCATAATGACCAAAAGAGTGCCAGGTCCCGGCTGCTCCACTTCCAGTCTAGCTCCCTGCTGATAGACCTGTAAAAGCAGTGAAGGCTGTGGCCCAAGTCCTCAGCCCTCAGCCCTCAGCCCTCGTTACCCCCGAGATAGGCCGGATGGAGTCCTGGCTCCCGACTTCAGCCTCACCCAGCTCTGGCTGCTGCGCTTGGGCAGTGAAGCAGCAGCGGATGGAAGATCGCATTTTCTCCATCTATGTCTGCCATTCTGTTTTCCAAATAAATTTTCAAACAGGGTTCATGTGGAGTGCAGGTGACAGTTTTCTTCCCATCTTGGCTTCTCTGCAGATAACCCAGAAGGCCTTGGGACGTGAGGGCTCCTACCATCCAAGATGTGTCACCAGCTTATCCCCTGGACATCCAGACTGAACAGGCAGGGCAGTGCCTGCCTTCCCTTCGGCTGCCGTGCCTTCTGGGAATGTGGCCTTCTGGTTCTCATTCCAGAAAACGGAAAGAGCAGCTCTTTGAATAAGTCTTCTGACACAAGCAGTGACTTTCTTTCTTTTTTGAGTCAATATCTTCGGTTACAGAGGATAATAGAACTTGACAAATGATTATTTTTTTCTCTGATAAAGAATAGTCATCCATTTTATCAATGAACTCAAACGCCGAGGTCCCGTTTGCTTTTGGACTCACAAGGCTTTTAACCTCTTAAGAGCAATATGTTACAGAAAATTTGAAAAAGCTGAAAAGCTTGCAGTGGTTATTTTTAAGTCAGAGATTTAAAATTTTTAAATATAACTTAAGATTGCGATTTAAAGAAAAAGATTCTAGATTGTCTTTACCAACATAATATAAAAATGAAGCTTCTAAAATTTTTTTTCTTAAGCTTTGTTTGAAAGAGTAACAAAGGAAAAAATTTTAAAGGGTTTCAAGTTTTAAGTTTTAACTTTTTAACATTGAATATAGAAAAGCAGATCAGATTTACAGAGAGAAGCAGAGACAAATCTTGCATCTGTTGGTTCACTCCCTAAATGAGCACAGTGACTGGAGCTGAGCTGATCTGAAGCCAGGAGCTTCTTTCAGGCCTCCTAAGGCTTTGAGCTATTCTCTACTGCTTTCCCAGGCCATGAGGGATAGGAAGTGGAAGAGCCAGGACACTAGCCGGTGTCCATGTGGGATCTTGGCACTTACAGGGTGAGGGTTTAGCATTGAGCCATAGCGCTGGGCCCAAGGGAGAGTATTTCCTTCATCTGCTGGTTCACTCCTTAGATCAGGGACCCCATCCAGGTAGCACTCAGGCATGGCAGGGTCCTAAGCACTGGGTCCATCCTCCACTACTTTCTCAGGTGCATCCGCAGGGAACTGGATCTGAAGTGGAACAGCCAGGACTCCAGTCTCCACTCTGATCGAGTGCCAGCTGTGTCACAAACCATGGCTTCATTCATGATGCCACAGGTGTTGGCGCCTAAAATTCTTTACAATTATGAAATATAGGTACTGCTAGAATTTTTGGTAATCTAAAAAGTAACAGAATTGTGATTCACCACTTGTTTTTTTGAAGTGTATTACTGTTTTTCATACTGATGTTTCTCTTGTTTTCTTATGTATGGTCACATTTCTACTGCACGTATTAAATGAGTTTGTAATCAAGAAAGACAGAAGGTTTTCTTTTCTGACATTTGGACACTAGGAGAAGGGAAGCCATGAAGTGCTGGGAGTCTTACAGACCTGGGCAGACAGGACTGAGTGTGAATGCTGGAGATGGCACGGTTACAATTTCTGCTGACAGGAAATGGCAAAGAGAACAATAGGGGCCAACACTGTGACATAAATGCTGACGTCCCATATGAGCATTGATTCCAGTTCTGGTTGCTCCACTTTCCAGCTCCCTGCTAATGGACCTCGGAAAGCAGCAGAGGATGCGCAAGTTCTTGGACTCCTGCCACCCACACGGAAGACCTGGAAGAAGCTCTTATCTCTGGAGTTTGGCTTGGCCCAGCCCCAGCTGTTGGCAGTTGCTAGGGAAGGAAGTACACCAGTAGATAAGATATGTCTAAATAAACATCACAGTGTAGCATTGCATCTCACCTGCATTTGAAAGTTGAAGAGAGAAAGAGTGAGAGATCTTCCTTCTGCTTGTTCAATGCTGAAGTGGGCCAAATGGCTGGGGTCCAGCCAGGCCAAAGCCAGGAGCCAGGCGCTCCAAATGCGTCTCTCACTTGGTTGCAGGGGTACCAGCACTTACGCTATCTTCTGTTGCTTTCCCAAGCACATTAGCAGGGAGCTGGATCGGAAATATAACAGCCAGGATTTGAACTGGTACCCAAATGGGATGCTGGCGTTACAGGCAGCATCTTCACCTGCCAGACCACAATGCCAGCTGCGCATTTCAGCTTCTAAAACCTTTTACTTTTTTTTTTTTTTAAGATTTATTTATTTTTATTACAAAGTCAGATACACAGAAAGGAGGAGAGACAAAGAAGAAAATCTTCTGTCTGATGATTCACTTCCCAAGTGACTACAACGGCCGGTGCTGTGCTGATCAGAAGCCAGGATCCAGGAACCTCTTCTGGGTCTCCCATGTGGGTGCAGGGTCCCAAAGCTTTGGGCCGTCCCTGACAGCTTTCCCAGGCCACAAGCAGGGAGCTGGATGGGAAGTGGAGCTGCTGGGGTTAGAACCGGTGTCCATATGGGATCCCGGCATGTTCAAGGTGAGGACTTTAGCCACTAGGCCATGCACCAGGACCAAAACTTTTTACTTAGAAAGAACTCCACATAGAAAAGTTTCAAAAACATTTCCAGAAAATCTTGTATGCCCTTTATCCATATTCATCAAGCAACATTTCCACATACTTACTGTATTATCTATACTTGCTCTTTTTCTGAATTATGTGAGATTTTAAACATGTTTTTTAAACAAGTTTTAAACATGTTTCTTTATAAATATTTCTGTGTGTATTTCCCAAGATGGAGGATTTCTTCTACATAGCAGTAGTGCATTTACTGAAATTCAGGAAATGCAACATTTATGAGGATTTTTTGGTATGATCCTGTGAGTCTCAAACTACGCAGGAAGGTGCCCTCAGCCCTGCTGTGAATTCACAGGATACCAGAGGCTATTTTGCATTTTATAATTTACAGCAAACAAAATGAAATTGACTGCAAAATGGCAAGTTTGAGATTGTAGTTTAACATTAGATGGCGCCATATTCCCAAGATACACAGCTGGGCTTCCAGGTAGTAATGAAAAACAAATGTAGTGCACAACTCAGCGGACAGGCATACTCTGTCCAGTCAGAGGCTTGAGAAGCACACTGCCCCACAGGTGCACACAACTTATTTGTAGCAATTGCAATTATGAAAGAAAAGAACTTTTTCTTTATTTTTTATATATAAGATTTATTTATTTTATTGGAAAGGCAGATATACAGAGAGGAGGAGAGACAGAGAGAAGGATCTTCCGTCGATGATTCACGCCCCCAAGTGACCACAACCGCCAGTGCTGCACTGATCTGAAGCCAGGAGCCAGGAACTTTTTTCCAGGCCTCCCTCCAGGATCCCAAGGCTTTGGGTTGTCCTCAACTGCTTTCCCAGGCCACAAGCAGGGAGCTGGATGGGAAGTGGGGCTGCTGGAGTCAGAACCAGCACCCATATGGGTTCCCAGTGCATTCAAGGCGAGAACTTTAGCCATTACGCTATTGTGCCAGGCCTATCGTTAGTTGTTTATTATTAGGAGATTGTCCTGCATGGGTGTAACCAATTTATGTTTAGTATGTGCATATATCAACACATAGACAATACTAAAAATAATTTTATAGGGCAAACATTGTGGTGCACCATGTTAAGGCACTGCCTGCAACACCAATATTCCACATAAGTGCAAGTGTGAGTTCTGGCTGCTGTACTCCCAATCCAGCTCCCTGCTAACATCTCTTGGAAAGCACAGATGGTGGCCCAAGGGCTTTGGGTCTAGCCACCTACAGACAGAGTTCTAGGCCCCTGACTTCCATCTAGGACAGCCTTGACTATTGCCAGCATCTGGGGAGAAAACTTCTCTAACCCTGCCTTTCAAGTAAATGGACAAATCTTTCAAAAACAATTTTCTGCATGAAACAAGTTCATGGTGTGCAATTTTCCATCAACTCAATGCTCAGTAAGTTTTAGATTTTTGGATTGGTGGAATAGTATGCTGTTATTACAGGACACTGTACTACTGCCATGAATCTCACATACATTGAATTAAAGAAGCTAGATACAAAGCATACAGATTAGATTATTCCAGGTCTATAAATTTTAACATGATTGAACTAGCCCATGGTATAGAGTCATGATTCTGTTTGTCTTGGGGGCAGAGATGGATGAGGAGGGGTGCAGGAGATTTGGTGTGCTGTTCCTGTTTTAGGACTTGCTCGGTGTGGGGGGTTACACAGGTGTCCA